ATTTTATGGAGGATTTTAAAAACCCCCCCCCCCCCCATTACTCAACATGTGGTACATGGACTGGAAGCACTGCTATCACTTGGAAGCTTGCTAGAAATGCAGAATCTCAAGCCCTAAGAATTACTGGTACAAGAACTGCATTTTTTAAAAAAAGATCCCCAAGTGATTTAGATGCACATTATAGTTTAAGAAACACTACTATAGGTTTTAAAACAAACTATTTAACTAAGATATAGACCAAAAAGACCACTCATCCAGAAATAACAAACATATCTATGCAGGTTTCTCATAGCAGAAGGGTTTTAGGGTTAGGGTTATGTTATATGGCACAGAAGACCTGAAGACAGGGAGATTATCTTGGTGGGCCTGACCTCATCACACGACCCGTAACAAGATTGGCTGATTAGAATGGAGAAAAGGAAGTATGTCAGAGGTGCAAAGCACGAGAAGTAAAAGATAGAGGATACCACATGTAAAAAAATGTGGGCAACCTAAGGAAGTGAGAACAGCCCCAGCTAATAGTCCATGAGGAAATTGGAACATAAGTCCTACAACTCCAAGGAACTGAATTCTACTATCAACAACAACAAACTTGGAAGCAGACTTTTTCCTACAGCCTAGTCAACTCAGGTGACATCTTAACTTCAGTCCATGAGAACCTAAGCGAGACAATCTAGCCCCACTGTGTGCCTTGATGTCTCATCTATAGAAACTAAAAGATAGTAAATGGGTATTGTGTCACACTGCTATGTTTATTGTAAACTGTTATGCTGCAATAGGAAATTAGTTATATTACATATATGACATATAATATGTAATAAAACTCACCAGTAGACAACATATTAATGTACACCTTTCAATTTATCTTATAATGGCATTGCTACTAACTACAAACAAAACACAGGATTTATCAGGCATTTGAAATCTTAAATGTGAAAGATAGCAAAAAAAATTCAAAATAAGATCAAAACCTTAAAATGCCAAAACCTGTAATGCTTTGGAGAAGGAAGAGTAAGGAAAAATAGCAGAGTTAGGAGAATATCCTAAATAAGTGTGGCATCAAACTTCTGAATTGCAATAGGAGACAATGAAGCAGTAACTTCAAAAATTTTTAAAAAGGTGATTTTTAAACTAGCCTTCTATGCCTAGTCAAACTATCAACTATAAAGATAGTGTAAAAGGCATTTCGGACAAGGTCTCAAAAACTTTTCTCAAGATGCCTAAACTGTAATCAATCTCAACATCATTAAAAGAGAAACAACCAAAGTACCTATGTGATACATAACGAAACATAAACACCAGGAATAACTAATCTTGCCAAATGAACAGAAATCTGGTCAAATATATGGATCTGAATTCTGATTCAGGAAATGACAACAAACAATGGTACAACTGGGAAAATCCATAGAGTGAAACAAATGACTCATTTCTTCAAAAATAAGTAGGAGCCCAGCTGGCATGGTTCAGTGGTTGAGCGTTGACCTATGAACCAGGAGGTCACAGTTCAATTTCTGGCAAGGGCATATGCCCAGGTTGCAGCTCGATCCCCAGTGGGGGATGTGCAGGAAGCAGCTGATCAATGATTCTCTTCCATCAGTGATGTTTCTAGCTCTCTCTCCCTCTTCCTTCCTCTCTGAAATCAATAAAAAAAATAAATAAAAAGTAGGATAAAAAGCCCTGGATGGTGTTTCTCAATGGTTAGAGTGTTGACCCATGAACAGCAGGTTTAATTCCTGGTCAATGGGATGTAAATGGGTTGCAGGTTCAATCATCAGCCCTGGTCGGGCAGTGTGCAGGAGGCAACCAATCAATATGTCTCTCTCATATCGATTATCAATGTTTCTCTCTTCCCCTCCTCTCCTCCCTTCCACTCTCCTTAAAAAATTCAATAGAAAAAATATCCTCAAGTGAGGATTAACAAGAAGAAGAAAGAAGAAAGAAGAAGAAAGAAGGAGAAAGAAGAAGAAAGAAGAAAGAAGGAAGAAGGAAGAAGGAAGAAGGAAGAAGGAAGAAGGAAGAAGGAAGAAGGAAGAAGGAAGAAGGAAGAAGGAAGAAGGAAGAAGAAAGAAGAAAGAAGAAGAAGAAGAAGAAGAAGAAGAGGAGGAAAAAGGAACTGTTATGACTAAGACACACAAAAAAATTATTAACATAAAAAATAATTTCTAAACACTGACAGGATATCTGGCAATATTAAGGAATTACTATTATTTTTTCCTTACATATGCAATGGTATTATGGTTTTATTTCTCTCTCTTTTTAAGACATTTTTATTGATTTCAGAGAGGAAGGGAGAAGGAGAGACAGAAACATCAATGAGGAGAGTGAATCACTGATCAGTTGCCTCCTGCATGCCCCACACTGGGGATCGAGCCCACAACCTGGGCATGTGCCCTGACAGGGAATTGAACTGTGACCTCCTGGTTCATAGGTCGATGCTCAACCACTGAGCCATACCAGCCGGGCTTATTTCTCTTTTTTAAAGTTCTTAATTTAGAAGTACATACTGAATTATTTATATATGAAATAATATGATGCTTAGATTTGCTTTTAAATTAACATGTGGGGTGGGGAATCAGCAAGGTGGTTATGTGTAAAGATGAAACAAAAGTGTCCATACAGCTCAGCAGGTGATTGAGTGTCAACCTATGAACCAGGAGGTCATGATTTGATTCCTGGTCAGGCAACATGTCCAGGTTGTGGGCTCAATAACTAGTAGGGGGTGTGCATGAGGCAGCCAATCAATGATTCCCCCTCATCATTGATGTTTCTCTCTCTCCCTTCTCTAAAATCAATAAAAATATATTTTAAAATGTGTCCATACATCGATGGCTGTGGAAGCTGGGTGATGGATATACCAAGGATTCACTAACCTATTCTGGGTTTGCAGATGAGATTTTTCATTTAAAAAGGGAAGGAGATAAATGAGGAAGGAGAGGAGAAGTGAGAGAAAAGAAGAGGGGGAGAGGGCAGCCTAGCTTGTTACCTTCTATAAGGAAAATAAAATGGAACTCTACCTCCAAAAGTAACTCCTTTTGGCTGCAATCAACTTTCATGTAGCAACATCTTTGTACCTGATTTTGCCTCTTGGAGCCCCAAAAAACAAACATCCCTCTTGTATTCAATCTGAGTCTTCTCACCTTCAGGAGAAACAATCCCTGTTCCTCTTACGACATGTTTTCAAATTATTTTACAATCCCCATTTCCCTCACACAAACTTCTACAGCAACATCAATTTCTAGCAAATGCTAAATTATATCTCTACTACACTGTAACAAAGAGTTGTCTATACTCAGGGACAGGACCTTTCATGTGCCCCTACTATGTTTTCATCTGTATCTGGCTAAGAATCTTTTAATAATGCATTCTAGAATTTTACCCAGGATAGAAATCAAACTTAACTATGAGTCCTTCAAATATTAGATGCTGTGTTAAAAGATATTTACTCAAGGATTATCAAACAGTAGGTTAGTTTTATTCTATAATTAAGTAGCAGTTTACATGCACTGCATGTACAATATATAGCACAGAGAGGTGCTCAAACCATGAACACAGTACAATTATTTAAATAATCAAGAGTTACTATTCCCTTATAGTTAAGTAGTTAA